CCCTATCAAAGGTCACCTCGCTGTAAGATGCAGAGCCAGAACTCAAATCCAGCCTGCCCATGTAGACTATGCTCTTCTATTATTCTGTGCTTTTCTTTAGGTATGTAAAAAAATATCTTTTTTATGAGTGTGTTTCAGCTCTCCTCTGAAGAAATGGAAAAAGTTCATTTTTTAAATGCAAATTTTCAAGTTTTGCTGCAATAACAGAGGTGTAAATCTATCATGGGTAAAAGCCTGTCAAGATTTTTTAAAGCAGCTCCATATACCAATATTTGAATTATTGTTTCAATCCCACAGAATTACCTTTCCATCTGTTTAGTACTGACACATGAAGAGCTATGAGTCACAAGGAAGTCAGTAAACAATACAGTATCAGTCATTAATTGTATCATTTACTCTTGAAAAACAATGGTGCCTGAATATTGAAGTGTTCTCATTGTTGCTATAACAACTTCAGCTCGCTATTATGATTCCCTCTGTTCAGTGTGAATGCTTATGTTTATCAGAACTAAAGTTCATGAGGTTTAAAAATATTATGTATCTGTGATGCATGTCACTTAGCCAGTTCATTTATAAAAGAGAATAATGAGCAACTGGTAAAGGTAATGAATGAAATTCCTCGAGAAATAAACTCCCAGAAGTTCTTCATGAAACATAGTCTGCATAAAAGCGTGCTGCCAACTGCAGTCGTTAGTGTTCCCACACCAGCACATAGGCAGCGTGTGACCCCAGACTTCAAGTCTCTATGCCTGACATAAGCCCAGCACCCAGAACAATGCATGGCACAGCCATTTGCTGAACATATACAAATGCCAGGATTCTCCTACTTAAGGCCTCAGTCAGTCTCTGTTCTCTTCAGTGTACCAATCTTTGATGTCAGGTTGGACACATGACCCTTGCCTTAATCCAGGGAGTCAGATTTTCTAGGTTTTTGCATTCTTGCTTAAGTCTTGATTTTCCTAAATAGAAAATGCAGTCCCAGCAAATAATTAAACACTGCTGAACTGTTAATATTCAAGGAAACAGAGACCAATTCGTATGATTTAATATTCAGAAATACCAGTAAAATGTTTAAATTATAGAGCTAATTTTATCTTTATTGCTCCCTTCAAATACAAATGAGGCTGACCAGCAGGATTCATGGTGCAAATCAAAGGCACCTACAACCAAACATGCAGGGAGCATGGGGATGATCTTTCTGTAAAAGACAATTTCCTGAACCACTGCTGAGCCATACAAATAAGCCCACACTTTCCCACACACCTGGTCTGATAATCAAGTGCCATTAGCCACAGGGTCAGGGTACAGACATCCCTAAATTCCCTGGAGTAGGTCTTGCACTAACTGGGATCACTTTTGAATTCTTCACAAATCACATTGTCAGGAAAGGAAGCAGAGCCTAAGACCACAGGCAGCAAGACCTGCCAAATCAAATGGCATGGACACAAAGGAGTCACTCCAGCAGCCATCATTGTTATTTCATTGTCACCTCTCTTGTCTCATGCATTTGAAGGCAGGTGCCCAGGGCCACACTCATGGCAAAGCACTTGCCAGCACTTTTTGCTGTTCCTTTTTCTCCTGCTTCTTTCACCCCACATACCAACTCCTTTTCACCCTGACACACACACATATGCACACACACACACACATACCCACAGATATACCCAATAAATCTTATAACGCCCGGACAAAAAAGTTGGGGAAAATATGTGTGTTTGTATGTATGTGTATTGAATTGTATGAGACAATTTTTTTTTAATTGGGAGTCCAAATTAAAGTTTAGAGCAAAATTAGAATTTAATTTTTTTTTTAAAGTGTTAAATTCAAAATCTGAAGAGTTCAGGATGTGTTGCGGGTCATAACAATATTGGAGAATAGGGATAGGATCCAAACAATATATGACAAATATCTCTAATGGTCTTAGAATGAAAAATATGCTAACTGGAGAGTTATTTTTGGAATAGCTAGAATTCAATTTTAAGATATGAGAAATTGTAAGAAGCACCATAGGTTTCACACCAGCTTCTCAGGACGAAAAAAAGCCCACAAATTAATGGCACAAACATATACTTTTAATAACTGATGAAAGCATTCATTATCCATATAATTATAGACAAACTTCCTCCTCAGTGTAGTGAGCAATTTCAGTTGGAGATTTGTTTAGATCTATTGCTTAAGAGTCTTCGGATTCACTTTCTGTCCTTGACAGATATGTCTGGCATCATGGTGACAAGCTGTTTTTCACAACCAGAGCTCATCATCTTGGTTTCTTCAGCCCTTGAAGATTGACAGTGTAATTCTGAGGGATATTGAAAAATACCAGAGTTATTTCCTGCATTTTCTATTTTGTTAAACTAATAGTTTCATATTTTTCCTTCATTAAATTACATATCACTGAAAGTTAAACAGCTTTTCTTGAAAGCCAGGTCAAAGCTTTTGACAGACATGCTACTCATAAAAGTTGAACCTCTTCTTGGCCTGTCTTGGCAAGGTGTCACTTTCTTTGGAAAAAACAATCTTAAAGTCCAGAAATAATAAAAAAGCAATTCAGATCTTTAGTGTGATCTTTTTTAAAATGCCAAAAGAGGATTTTATTTATATTGCATAGCAAAACCTATTTAAATACTCTTTTTTCCATCTCTCTTCATTTCTGCTCCTCCACTCTCACCACTATCAAACAGAACAAAACAAAATACCTCCCTGAAATTGTCTGAAGGCCACCCCTTTCTTGATGCTCTCCTATACCTTCTTCTCCTGCTTTCTAGATCTTTCTCTCTTCCTTAAGAATCCTTTGCTCTTCCCAGTGTGAACTTGTAAAAATGGCTGTCTTCTTTTCCCCAGTGATCAGATATTGTCTTAGTAAAAGTAAATATTCAGAGCTTGAGTGATGAGTCTTCAAGTACATCAGTAAATGACCCCAAACTCTGCTGCCTTTGAAAGATTTTGTTTTTGCAGGATTTGGCCATTTCTACTTCCTTAAATTCAATTGCCTGGCAAGTGTCAGTCAATCATAATAATATGTAGCCAAGTACAATCATTTTGAAAGCTTTTCAACCAACACTCAGCAGACCTAAGATTAATTAAAGGTCAATATTAATTGCTCAAAAGCTAATCTTGTTTATTTCATACATTTGTAGATAATAATAACTGCATCAAAATTTACTGATCTGCATACAACTGGCAACTTTCTCTTATTAGTTGTAAGAAGCATCTTAATTTCAGATGGTAAAGCTATTTTAGTTGAGGAAATATGGCATTTGAAGTCCCACAGGGGTTCTATGCATCATATGCATATATGTATATGTGCAATATTGCATGTATAGTATATATATAACGTTAGGAGGAAGTTGGTTGATAAGGAGCTGCATCCATTCTGTTTTCCAAATTACACCCCCCAAATTTAAATTGGAATTGAAGTTAGTTAAATACCTAATACTAAATAACTTTGTTCTTTCTTCTTCAATTTAAAAAATTATGATTAGTGAGTCAAAATGGCTATCATCAATAACACAAACAACAACAAATACTGGCGAAGAGGTGGGAGAAAAGGAACACTTCTATATTGTTGGTGAGAATGTAAATTAGTGCAACCACTATGAAAAACAGTATGGAGGTCCCTCAAAAAACTACCATATGATCCAGTGATATCACTCTTAGGCATGTATCTGAAGGAATGTGCTCCAAGATATGATAGATTCACTTGCACATCCATGTTTACTGCAGCACTATTTATAATAGCCAAGCTTTGGAAGCAACCCAGATGCCCTACACTGATGACTGGATTAAGAAAATATGTTATATACACATACTGGAGTTTTAGTCAGTCATAAAGAAGAATGAAATTATATTGTTTTCAGGTAAATGGATGAAATTGAAAACTTCATGTTAAGTGAAGTGAGCCAGGCTCAAAAAATCAAAGATCATATGTTTTCCCTCATATGTGGAAGTTAGACATATAAGTTAAATATATATAGCGATATGATCATATATATGCATATATACATGCATATATATATATATGTAGTGAGAGATAGAACAAAAATATACCAGTGAGGTGGGAAAGAACAAGAAAATGTTAGCGAATGAAAAATATTGAAGCAAGCCATCTATATATGAATATAATATATTATGTGTGTACTGTAAGCCGTTGAATAGTAGGGGAGCATGATGATAGAAAATGAGTAAGTTATGGGAGGGGTTTAATTTGATTAAAGCATGATATGTATGGGCCTGAAGTGTATATCAATACACACTTCAAAAAAATGAAGGGCAGGAAGGTAAAATAGGTCTTTTCCAGGGGTGGCAACCAACGGGAGGTGGGTGGGCATAAGGAAAGATGAATGAGTGTGAATATGGTGTTTGTATTTTGTATTTATATATGAAAAAAGAAGAATGAAACATGTTCAGATTGTTCTAAGAAGGGGGGAGGGGAGAAGAGGGAGAATGATGGATGGAGTAAATCAATACATCTGCCTATACAACTATTACATGCTAATAAACTTTAAAAATAAAAAATTAAGGTTTAATTTCATAAAGCATTATTCACCTAATTAGTGTAGAGAATGTCAATTTTCAAAATTTAATTAATTCATTCTTTTTGTTGTTATTTTGGTTTTTTTGAAACAGGGTCTTGCTGTAGCCCAGGCTGGACTCGAACTTGCAGCTCCTCTGCTTCAACTTCCTGAGTGCTGGCATTCAAGGCTTACACACCATACCCAGCTAGTACTGCAATATTTGGCAAATGCACAGTCCTGTAACCACCAGTTGCATAAAAATTAAAGCAGTCCCTATTGTTGAGTGTATTAGAACTTCATTTCTTTTTATTGTTGATTACTATCCCATTGTAATACATCTTGGCTCCTTTCTTAGTTCCCTAGTTAAAGGACCTTGGTTTAAGTAACTTTGTTTTCTGTGTTCTGCCATTTAAATAGTAACTCTTGGTCCCCGATTCTCCATCCAAATATTCCCTAGATTTTTTTACCGTTCTAATATAACTTTTTTTTTTACAAATATTGTTTATTTTAATGAAGCTGGTACAAACAATGTCCATTTAAAACCCATGTTCCAGGTCAAAAAGTACAAATAAAATCAAAAGGAGAAGTATTCTGTTGGATACTTCTGCATGAATAACTTTATTAACTGCTAATGAAAACTAGAACTTTTCTGGGTTCTTCTGACAAGATTTTTTTAAATCTTATGCTTTTCTCTTCAGTGAAGCCATCTTTGGGGTTAGTCATTAATCTCACCAGGTTTGTCATCATGACTCCAAACCTGATATTCCTCTTCTTTTGGTCCAGACCCTTGGACTTAAAAGTAGCTTCAAGTTAAGGAGAGGTCATTTTCCCACAGTTCAGTTCTATGAAAAACTTCCATCTCGCACTGAGAGTCATAGTTCAGGAGTGAAGCAATCACGTGCTAGAACTTCGGGGCCAATTGAAAAGTCATTTTGAACACTTGCATTGGTCGATCTTATCACCACAAACCTGAAAATGCACAGTCCTGAAAAAAGTGGCCTCTCCGTGCACATGTGTAATTTTTCAAAAGGAGAGGGCAATGTGAAGGAGACTGAGGTTTGATCACCAAAAATCAGCACCATGAAAACAAAAGATAATGAGCACTAGAATTCAAATTACCAGATATTTTAAAGAGATGGAATGCCAGTATTCAATCCCATTTTGAACACCACATTACAAAAGACCTATTTTTAAAAATAAAAAAGGATTGAGGGAAAAGAAAAAGAAAAGTATCTAAACTGTTGAATGACCCCCCGTTTGTTCCTGATGAACTTCAATCACATCTTCTTCCTCCATTCCCAGTTCTTTTGGAGTATGATTATCAGCAATTCTTTGACCTTCAAAGAGAAGCCTGAGTGACTTCATTGGAACGCCCTGTCTTTGACAATATGATTCTTTGAGTTTCTTGAGATATGTTGTCATTTTCACTTTGAAGTCAGTCTCACTGCTACCCTGTCCGATGACTTTGAGTTTAATATATTTTCCTTCCTTCTTATCCCCCAAGTCCTCAGTTGAAGGTTTTGCCTCCTGGTCAGACATGGTGATGGTGGCTTCACCCGGGGGTCTCTGCACAACAGCGGCATCGGGCAGGTAGAATCTGGCTCTGAGGTTTACAAACCCGTCTCCCTTCCCCACAGGACAACACTGCCCTAATATAACTTTAAATAACCATCTTTCCAAATTTCATTTCCTCACAGCTTTTACTGACTATTATTTTTATTGGGTTGTTAAGTAGAGCAAAGTAAATAGAGGAAAGATGTGAAATTGAGAATTTTAGATGACCTGACTTCAGATTTAATATTGAACAGTTGTTTAATCTCTCTGACCATCGGTTTCTCAATTGTGAAAAAGAGAGTAAGTGTATTCATTCTCAGTCTTGTTGTGATAATGGAATTCGGTAATATGTCTGAAAGAACATTTGGTGACTTAGCACCCATTGTATCTATGCTCTCAATCTGATTGTTATCACTATTGTGAGATATTAACTTATAGGCTTATTACTTTTCTTTCTTGTTTGGAATTGTTATTTTTATTTTGCCTTCTTTGTTTCTCTTTCAAACAGGGTGTCAGTGGATTGGGGAGATTAATGGCAGAATAGAACAGTAAAGGTACCTACAAGTCTTTCGTATATTTCACTAAAAGCCAGGGACTGAGTGAAGATATGTGAATGCAGAGGGACCACTCTCTGCTATAGAAAAGTTCTTTTGGAGGTGAAGGAGGGCAGGAAGAGTGGAGGGTCATTCAGAAAAGGCTGGGATGAAAGAAAAAGAACTAACAAGAGCCCTAGGAAGGTGGCAAAACTCAGAGAAGAGAAGAAGCATGATGCACATCTAACAAAATGGGAGTTCAGGCAACCTCAGCAAAAACATCCTGTGCCTTGCAGGTGCATATGGAACTAACTGATGAGACAATCTAGATGGGAGTAAGGGACATCTCAGTGGCACCTGGTGGGTACGAGTGACTGGAATAAGATGATCAGCACCTTCCCCTCCAAATCTGGACACTGTGCAATTCCCAGATACATGGCAAAGCCCCAGGACCTGTGGAAGGGGGATCCCAACAAAGATTTGGTGGTTTCTCCTTTGCTGCCAATATAGTAGAATGAGTGCTCAGAGCTAGAAGCTAAGTTCAGTTAGGAAGAATAAAGACAATGTCATTCTTGTATCCATGAGTTTGGGAAAGGCTACAGTTGTATTAACAAAGATAGCACAGAATGTGCTAACCTCCTTAATGTTGTTTTACGTGTTTTGCAAAATGTGTAAGGGTATGAAGTAGCCATGTGGTACATAGGAGTGATCATCAGTTAAGCCATATTTTTTTAAGAAACCATGAAATCATTAGAATCTCAAATTATTTCCCAGAATCATTTTGTATAAACACTGTATCACCAAATTTTATTGCTCTGCTCTCTTGGAATAGGAATAGAGAAAAGTGCTAAATTTTCATAGCAATCTCCGTTTGCCATACTTGAACACATTAAATGTGAGATATTTTACCATATACATAATTAATGGCTTCTCCGAATATTTGATGTCAGTTTTACTCATGATGTACTTATTCATTCATTAGCTCATTTACTCACTCACCAAGTGCTTAGCTGGTTTCAGACATTATGGTCAACACATTAATGTCATTTCTGGATGTGTGCAAAGCCTTTAACTACTCTAATCTGACCCTTCTTTTATTCTTGACATGGATCTGACCTCTATTTTCTGACGATGAAAATCAGGCCCAGGGAACATGCCTAACTCCCTGACAGAGTTCAAGGGTTCACACTCCTTTCATTAGGAGAAAGGAATTCTAAATGGAGAAAGCATCTCTGTTAACCTACTGTGAATTCCCAGAATCCTACTAACGGCACTTAAAAAAAAAAAAAAGAAAACAGTTTTCACAACAATGGAAAGACAAACTAACACTGTCATTATACTTATACTGCGAGGAGCTCCTGAAACAGCACAGGCTGACAGGTCTTTTTGGATAAATTAAGAACCACTTGGAAGCAAAAACAACAGTTCCAATATTGAAAAAGAACAATGCTGCAAATTATTTGGTGTTTGTTTCTCTAAATTAGAGACCTTGTGAATTTGCTGGCCTCATGGCTATTTAGAGTAAAAAAATTTAAATATCTAAAGAGCTCTTGTTTTGAACTTTGAAATAGATTTTAAAAGATATTTGAGTGTATACAATTCCAGTCTTTTTTTTTTTAATTTGAATTCTTTGTAACTAAATGAAACTGACCATGAAGTTCCTAGGCCCCTGTTAATAACTTTGCCTAGAAAAGGCAAATCTTCCATGTTGCTAAATTATAGTCATTTATACAAGTAAACTCTCCTGCTTGCAGATATTCAGTTCCTGAGTATTTTACTTTTATTTTTTTAAAGCAATCTAAATAGAATTTAAGAATTTTAATTCATGTTTAAAAATAAAAGATCTGAAAGTTAATATAAGAATACTGAGAAATACCTGAATAACAGATCAGACCCGGGAGCACACCACACAGGTGAGACCTAGCACAGGAAACAATTTCCTTCTCTTTCCACTGGTCACTTACATGCATCAATCTGAGAAGCTGCTAAGATGGATCTCACTGGTAAAGTAATAATAGCAATAACCTAATAATAGTGTAACTTGCTCCATTCTGCCAAAAGTACAAGGAAAATAGGATGTGTGTGGAGACTTAACCAAGTAACTCTTGATCTCAAATTCTTCATTTGTGAAAGGAGAGTGTTGAACTTGATCTCATCAATTCTATGCTCAGTTCCAATCATCATAATTTCATGAAGTAATCCTAATAAGATAATGAAATAATCCCTTCTGGATTCCTTTGACCCCCTTGGTCTTATAATTAAGTCTTAACTTGTGATGTTCAATATTAAATATTTTCCCAAAATAAGTGACTTTAGGACATGAATAAGAGAAAAAAACTATTGATAAATTTCTGTTGCACTCCAATGATTGTATGCATTTAGAGGAAAAACATACCTTAATTTCATTAAGAAAAATGTTAGGAAAATAAATCAACTGTATTGATTTATATGGACAGATAGATAGATAAGAGAATATAGATAGGTATGCAGAAACACTGAGAAATGCAGATTATATGCTTGTATATAAACTCACTTTATAGATAAAGATATAGCTTGAAAGTAAATAGATAATGATGTACCACGTAAATACTAAACAAAAGAAAACTGGATTAGTTGTGTTAATTTCAGTCAAAGTAAATCTCATAACAAGGAAGATTATCAGGGATAAAAATGATTACAACATAATGAAGGAAGCAATCCTTCCAGAAGACATGAGAATCTTATATGTGGATTTACCTAACAACACATCTTGATAATGCATAAAGCAAAATGTGTTATATCTGAATGGAGAGACACATTCACAATTATAATCTGATATGCCAACATTCCTCTCTAGGGAACTGATAGAACCAAAAGCAGAAAATCAGGAAGAATATACACACACTGAACAGGGCAAACAATTAATTCATGTAATCAATATTTATAGAGCACTTTACCCAACAACAATGGGATATATATGGTTCTCAAGTCCACATGCAATGAATGATTCCCTAAAACACATTATAGTCTCCACTATAACAAACTTTTAACATTGAATAAAATAGAAATTATAAAAAGTTTGTTCTCAGGCCACAACAAAATTAAAGTAGAAAGGAATAATAGAAAGGTAAATAGAATTTTTTTCAAATAACTGAGCATTAAGCACTTCTAGTGTTAAAACAAAACCTCCAAGAAACTAATGAAAATAAAAATACAAAATGTATGGCATGCAGCCAAGCCATGCTCAGAGGAAAATTTATAGCATTAAATATAGCATTAAATGCCATACTGGAAAGCAAAAACATCTAAATGAATAGCCTCAGCTTGCAACTTAAGAAATTAGAAAAAAGAGTAAATTAAGCCCAAGGCAAACAGAAAGAAGAAAATAATAGCTATTAGAGCTGAAATCAATGAAAATTCACTTGATATTAGGAAAAAATCAAGGATGTCTACTCCTGCACCTTCCACTTAACTTCGTAATGGAGATAAGGCTGGGTCAATTAGGTAAGTAAATAAGCAAAAACATTTAAAGGAAAAATAAAATAACCGTCATTTGTATATAATATAAACTTGTTTAAAGAAAATCCTAAGGAATCCAGTAAAAATCGATTGCAACTAATACACAAATTCATCAAAGTTGCAGGATATAAGATTGATATACAAAAGTCAATTGTATTAACTTGCATTAGCAATGAGAAGATCCAAAATTGAAATTAAGAAAGCATTTATATTTATAATGACATCAAAAAGAATCGAACATTTGGGAATAAATTTAACAAAGGAGTGAAAAGTATTGGAGAAGATGTAAACAAAGGGGAAGACATCAAATTAATGCCTCAGAAGACATAATATTGCTAAGACAGCAACACTCTCCAAATTGATTGGCAGACTGAGTGCAATCCATATCAAAATTCCACCTGGGCCTTTGCAGATATTGACAAACTCATCTTGAAACTCATATGGAACAAAATGTACTCAGATGATGATGCATAGAGCCTTTGTAATAATTTATTTCTTAAACTGGCTAGTAGGTATAAGGGCATTTTTGTTTGTTGCATTATTCTTATTGGAAGTCTGAAATATTAAGAAATGAGTATAACTTACATAAATCATCTTTTCATTTAAGTAGAATGTAAGCCCAAAATAGTGTAAAGTTTGATAATTTTCACAAACTCAATACAACAGTATAACAAACACCCAGGTCAAAGAAATACCAGCATTGTAACCCCTCACAGGGGAAAGTACTGTACTGACTCTAACCTACCAAAATGAGTGAATTTTTAATAATAAACACCACCTTGCTGCAGAATGGGGTAATAAGTGTGGGTGGGAAATTCCTGCTTTTCAATTTATACCTTCCTATATTGTAAGAATTTTTACTGTTACATAGTTAGTCTTTTTGTAACTCTGTGTGGACAAATCTTTACTTGACTTGAAGCTTTTCAAACTGCTGATTCTTGGTGGTTTTGTTCTCTTCTTCACTCTTACTTCTCATTGCCGTGGCCAAACCCCAATACTCAATACAACAGTATAGCAAACATATGACATTGAGGTACAATGTCATCACTAGACATTG